CAAAACTGAATTCAATCAAACGTTTTTCAAATCAGCGAATCACTTCAAGCAAATACAGTGAGACTCTGGACAGAATCCTGCTTCGCAATTATTTCTGCACCATTGTGTCATTCCAGAAACACGTTTCAAAGCAGCTGCTGCTGGTTTGTAATCTTTGCATTGTCGGCGTTCAGCGATATGGAAGACGATCTGAAAGTGAAACGAATGATTAATTTCATGAATGTTATAAATAAAATACGAGGAATTTTCGAACGAAAGTTACCTGAAATATTCAGCTTTTCCTGGTTCCCCGTTTGAGCTGTGATCCGAGTGCTTATCTGCATCATCATAGGCTTTATTGCTATGTGCCGGCTGAACGACGTGCTGTAAAACGAATATTTCAAATCGAGGTCAATTTATGACCTATTGCAGATGAAATATAAAAGCTCTATACGAAGTCTGCGCTTTCAATTACATTAATTAGAAAATCTCGTACCAGACTTTTTCCTGGAATTTTGAATCTTAGGTAATGCTGGCGCGATTTAAACTAGAAAATGTCCTTAGAATATCGATTGACTTATTGAAAGTTAATTTATTGAAGAATATTATATTTATTTCATTCGTGAAATGATGCACAAAAATCGGAAAAACTTTCCGCGACAAATACAATAGTTCTGACTGTATCAAAAATTCTAAGTATCATAGCAAAAGTTGGTGAGTTTGTCACACATCGTGGACCATATTTTAAGTAATTTAAAAAGTCTACGCATGAACTGAGCTGAATATCAAACTAAATTCAAGTGTCAGTATTTCGAATCCGCGTCCTGATGTGCTTCGAATTTTCTTTACTCCAGCAATTAGGCATATTTTAAAGAAGACGGAGGAAACGCATTCATGTGTAAAAATTCCCGTTCCGATTAAAATGAAATTTTGAAGATCGAAAAAATATAAATACCTTCTCAATTTTTTAAAAATTTCCCAAGAAGTTTCCTTGATTAAATGTGCACCCGTCGTCATTTTTCAAGTAAATTAAGCCTTTTAATGCAATCTTGATTTGGTTGAGAACTGTTTCTTTTATTTGCAAGAATTTGAACTGTTATGCTACATATTAAAAAAATTGAAATCTTCCAGAACTCTTTCTACGAGTCCTATTTAAAATCCTCACAATATTGGTTTCTGATTTTAAAAAAAAATTGTAGTTTTACAAACTTCAGTTCGTCCCTTTATTCAAACTCATTGTCTTGGCAGATACAAGTATGCAATTTTTAGACATGGTATCAAGTGTATACTTGAGAAAGTTTGTACATATTTTTCTATATTGCAATTTGACCTCCTGCAATTCGACCATCCCACCATCCCACAATCCAATAGTCAAATTTGCTGGGAGGTCAACTTTTAATTTGACGTCTGCCCTGCAATTTTACCTGGGGAGAGACATGAAACTTCAAATACCATGTAAAAAAAACACATGCCATTTGAGTGATTTGAAATTGTCTCGCAATTCAACCCACTTTTGCAATTTGACCCTAGTCCAGCAACGGATTAGTACAAGGTACCACTTCTACAAGCCAATCAAATGATGAAAACACTGGTCAACACAACCATGTTTTGTCAACAAAACCAGACAATCAGGTTTTGCCTCATCAAAATTTTGGTCTGTTTTGAAGAAAAAAACCCCATTTTTCGTGCAAATGTAAATTTCTCTATTATTGACGGTATTCCTAGCAGTGGTCTCGATAGAAAACATTATGCATTCCGCATAAGTCTAGATTATTCAAATACCTGAATACCACTTCGAACAGAACACGTTCGATGGACTCACAGGACTTCAAAAGCAATAAGCATAAAAAAATCATTATATACGCCTGCTATATATAATGATAGCTCACTGTAAAGTGAAAAACTCGTCGTGAGTATCACAATAACTCTCACCGGTCGTTCGAAAGAACCCGTTTTGAGCTCAGTCCTACCAACTGATGAACACTTTGGTGAGGTACACTCATCGACATCGACGTCATCGTCGTCATCCTCGGTGTCGCTGATGTCGAAAGTCGCGGTGCTGGCGGGGAAAACCGCGACGTCGGCGCAGGCGCGGAAGGTCTCCTGCGGCCCGCAACCGACGGCGCTCGTGCCGTCTTCACAAGGACCCCAGTTATTCGCTGTTGTGTAAGTCCACTGAAGCATACAATTCAACATATGGAACGTTTTCAAAGTTTGTTTTTCTCTCCCTCTCGACGATTAACACGCAGATGTATAACAATCATCACTTTGAAACGTACAATTGATCAACTTCTAAAATGTATATTCAGTGAGACCCCTACATGCAGACACCTCAACGTGTTGACAATTTTACATATATAGGGACTCCTATTTTCCCATGAAAATTATTAATAAAAAAGCCTGAGCATGAGGACACTGACTCAACATAATAGGGACATTTTGTGATGAAATTGCAAATTCATTTCAGGCCAAATTACAAGAAACAAATACTTCTGATCCTAAAATTGATGTAAGGAAAGTTCTTGGCCATTTCTCTCACCAATTTACCATCCATTTAGCTAATTTTAAAAAATACTTCCAGCATAGAGGGACTTCCTTTTCTCTGTTTCACTTGAATGTTATTTTTACATAGAATGCCAACATTTATATGTATGGTACAGAAGTATCAGTATATATTCAATTCCCCAATTGTCCATGATTGAATCAGTTTAAATTGGGAGACAATTTTTAGTTTCATGGAATGATGGTGAATATTTTGTCCAAAAAACACCAATTAAAAATTGTATAATGTAAGTCTAAGGTAACAGTATCAGAGACTAAACTAAGGTACATTTCAACTTAGGGACACTCATGATGCACCAATTACGTCCGCATCTCAGGGTCTCACTGTACTATCTTCAAACCCATATATGTTTGGGTTGAATTCAGAGGAACCCACAAGCACACGTCTATTCAACTTGGGGGGTTTATTTGAGTTTAAACCTCGTATTCTTATAGGGCGGGGTTCGGAAATTACTGAAATGTAAGTCCGTTGAAATAACTGTAACGGGAAATTTCACGAATTTTGTTTTGCTCTTTCACGACTCAAGAGACAAACAAACATGGATAGAAATCATTACTTTGAAACACGCAATCAAGTTCTAGAATTTACTGCAGCAGTCAAACCTGTGTGGGTTGAACTCAGAGGGACCCCCGTGAATATTCGAGTTGCAAAGTTTTTGAGTTATAAAACCAGAATTTTTACTGAGGGAGTGTAAGGGGGAAGAATCACTGTAAGATAAAATTGGTGATATTCTGTGCTTCAAACTGCTCAATACTGTAATTGATTTGACAGAAAACTGAACTTAAATATGTGAAGGTACATTTGCTCGATTAGTCATTGACTTATTTTCGAAAAGCGTGAAGTTCCAATTGTATCGCTCTTCGCTTTTCCTAGAATACAACAGCGTAGTGGCTTCTCAAAATTTTACTTTTGGAGGTTTCCAAAGAAAATGTATTGGAAGAGTTACGGTTTATATTACAGCAGTTGTGAGGAAATTCATAGAGGAACAAAACAAATATTTGGCATTTTGGGGAGATTTTTGACTTAGCAAGGTCCAGCTGTATGTGCAAACATTCGTGTACACTTCACAACAGTTTTTCCTAGCTTTTGAGAATGCAGCAAAAATCCCCTGTTTCAGATGATATCAATCGATTAGGAAAAAAAATGTTTGAAATTAACTTCAAAATGCCTTCAACACTGAGCAATTATTTTCACCATGTCAATCTCAAAATGCTATATTGCATGAGTTAAACGTAAAACATCTTCAAGGTTAAATAATTTTAATATCTTTGAGGTCGTCTGAGTCTGCAAGACTTTCTTTTAAATCTTCCAAACGCGTGTGTTTGAGAATCTGCAAATGAATGTCGACTGAATCTACTCTGAATCCGAACCCTGGGTTTTTATGCGAAAACCTCATCGAAACAAACGTCATCGGGATCCCGACGGAACTGAAACAATCCCCTTTTGTTTCGCCGTGACTTCAGCAAGAACCCACGGTGACCAAGCAAAAACTTGAGAGGAATGTTCAGTGACGCAAATGAAAAAAATGCGACAGAGAAAAAAAAATCTCAAATGACACTGCGAATATTCACGAGAAAATCCTGATCTCGATCGACTGACAGGAAAGTTGACTTCTTTCGTGGAATTTGAACAAAAAATTGTATTCCTTCATGTTTTCATGAAATCAGGATAGGAATAAAAAAGAAAATAAGTACTGACTAAGCAGAAAGCGTCTTGCCTGGAATAATATTCGTCGTGAACGCGTATATGAATCGGCTGTTTATTGAATATTTTTGATTCCGTGAAATATATCCGCACTATACAAAATATGCTTTTTCTGCTCACCTGGAATAAACAATGGTTGCATATCAGGTCATCCGGAAGCTTCACTTGGAAATCGTAGAAACCATTTTCCGTGCCAACCAAATATTTGGTAGGGTCCGCACCCTCAGGGTGATCTCCAGCGATTTCCAACAAATGCCTTTTCAAATTCAAAATTCAATCAGTCTTCCACCTGAAAATTTTCGTGTTTCAGTACAACGAAACTTGCCTGAAATACGAATTCGATTTTTAAGTTTCACGTCTCTGTCCCACGAAAATATTCGCCGAAAAAAGTTAGTTAATATATCAATCGAATGAAAATTCAAATAAATCTTGAGGTTCCAAGGCAGAGAAAAATATCGTTATTTGAATCGGACTCATCTTATTTCTCCCAAAAAAGTCTTCCATTTTTTTGCGTTATTTACACAAAAAGAATTATATGTTTCCAAGCCTATTATTAAGCCAAGTAATCACAGGCCGTTCACTTGCCTGTGAAAATGAGTAAAAAGAAGGAGAAAATAATGGGCCCCGACATGCGTGCTTTCCGAGTTAATATGCTGCGACTTACGGACGATTTAAGCTCAAAAATCTGCCCTAACATCCGGAAAATATTTTGAGATATGGACACTTTCCTAAGATTTCTAGAAAAACTGAATTTTTCATAATGGGAATTAATCTTGAACAAACTAATTTTTTTAATGCTCACGAACATTTTGAAATTAATATCATGATAACTTAACTCAAATTCGCAATAGTAAATAAACAGGATAATTTGGTACTTTTTTGGTTTTATTCTCATTGTCTTTGCGAAGTATAGCAAGAGGTGCTCTTGCTCATTTCTTCTTCAGCTCCATTTCATGCCAAAAAATCAGATTCTGTTTGGTTTTTTTTCTGCAAAATTTTTTTTAATCCTATCTTGAGATGAGTAAAATTTTTTTTCATTTTTTGGCGACTTTTTCTATATTTTTGATGAAAAGGAGAACCAATTAAAAAAAATTCCATTCGGAGTCTAAGGTAAAACACAACATAAAGACCTTCTGACTAGGACAAGTTCCAAGCACCAGGAAATTACGTCCGTATCTCGGGGCCCCACTATTATTTTTTGCGTATACACTGTATTATTATTTTATGCGAAAATTAAACAAATTTTCGTCCTCCAAAAAATAGACTGAGTAAATTTAAAAAAGGAAAAGCCTATACGGGTCTCACCTGTCCAGACATTCTTGACTAACTTCAACGTTTTCTCCGTCTTCCGCGTAAGAACACATTCGGAACTGGAAATAACCCTTGTGATTGACAGTAATTTCCACTTGAACATTCACTATGTCTCCCACAGTGTAACTATCGACAATGATGCCATTTGCGTAAATTCCATTGACTTCGTGGGTTCGTGGCATCGACTCATTGAAAGCGTCTCCGCAAATCCCGCATCTTCCTTCATTTTGGTTCCATTGAACCTGATGATGAAGTCATTTTTCGAATGCTTCGTAATTTTTTTTTTATTCATAGATACGAACAGTTTATGTTTCCATCGAATGGAAATAAGGCTATGCCGTAGAGTACGGTAATCTTCCTTTGCTACATAATGATATAAGAAAGGTTTCTGATCAAGATTTCATCACATCCGCTTTACTTCACTTCAATTTCGCTTTAACTTTGCAGGAACTGGATACATTTCTGGAACCAAGGACTATAGTTTCTTGATGCCTGCAAAAAGCAATTGTAATGCAATTACAGTTGAACCTCAATAACTCAAGCCTCCCTCAGTCAAATATACTGTCCCCCCCCCCCCCCCCCAAGTCGATTTTTTTAAGGTCCTGTCTGAATCCCCTTAGAATTAATGCATATAAAACCTCTCTCAGTCAAAGGCTTTTCACCTCAAGCCTCCATAAGTTGAATTTTCCGTGGCCCATTTGGGTTTTATTCTCTTGACACAAGAAAGAAAAAAGCAATGAAAACAGAAATGTATTTGTTTTGAAAGGAGGTGAGAGACTCAGTTGGGCAAATGAACCCTGCCTCCAAGTTCAGGATACTTTCAACTCATTTGAATTTTAATTTCATCCTTGCAATACTGTATCACAATTTACAACTTCGAGCGATTTTTCTATGTTTCCCAGGAGAAAAGGGCTTTGTATTTTAGCTCAATTCAAAACCTCCCTAAGTCAAATCTTGTTGCTGGTCCCTTGAAGTTTGACTTGGAGAGGTTTCACTAATAATTTCAAGTCAATTTTTTTATTCAAAGCAAAATATAAGTTTGCCTTTTCAAATTCACTGCATAAATACTGTGAAAATAGAATGCAAATCCAGATTTACGAGCCAAAATGCTCTCTGATCTATTCAAGCAGCCCAGAACTGGCCGCAATAAACGGCGAAAATGAAAAAAAAATCAAGTTTGATTCGATTGGAATTTAGTAATGAAAGGGTTTGCAACTGCGGGCATTCATTCAAAATTTGATGAATGCAGACATGATTTCAATGCTATGCCTGTATTGACAAGTATACAGTAACGATCTGAATCAAGGCCTTTTTTTTATTCTGTTGCATGTTTTCAGCAGTTTGATTAACTCAAGATTTGACTACTGTGCCGTTATATAGCAAATAATGAAGTACAGCATTTTTCTTGAAAACCTGGCATTGGATTCGATTTAAAAAAAAAACCCAGATGCACATAAACGCTTACTTGACATTTTGAACGTTTAATAGCTATTCGCACGGAATGAAGAAGGTTTGAATACAGTGAATTAAAAAGGCGTCATTACTGACTTGGAAACCGCCACAGAAGGATTGAGCATCGTCGTAATCTACGGGATTATCCCAGCCATATCTCCACATCGTGGCTCTGGACGGCGGTTCAGTGAGTCGACCATGTCCTTGTGTTTGAGCAATCATGTGCTAAAAAGATGGTGTAAGCATATATTTAAAAATAATAATAATCATGAAACGATAGGTTTCGACAGTCTTTGATAAAACGGTGTAGTGGTGAGACATCGGGATGGTGACACGCACAACAAACCTCAGATAAAATGCAAATTTCATAAACTTGCGTGTTTTGCAGAAAAAATCCGCCTCCCGTCCTTTGAAAAAGATCCTCCTAAAACTGCAAAACATTATTTTTTTCCATAATATAAAAACGAACTCTGCTTTATCTCGAGTAAGCTTCGTTTGGAAAATTATCTATATCTGAAAATGTCTCGGATTTAAATTTTATTTCTGGGCTTCTTTTTTTGCTGATCAAGCAATGACGAAGCAACGGAGACAGACTCCGATGCTAATGATTATAAAGATTCATTATTGGTATATTATGCGACAATGAATGAAACAATATTTAGTCTATTCTTTCGATACAAATTATTTTCAAATTAATTTTCCACTTGGGATGTACGGTGTCAATCTTAAAAATAAATTTTAAATTTTTAATTTTTTAAATTTAAATTTTTGTCCGATAAAATTTTTTTTTTGAAAAATCTACAGCGTACATTAAAAGAAACCCCCACATGCATTGAATTAATCAGTCTTTTCGTGATATGTTCCGTACACCGTTGTTTCAATTTGAATAATTTTCATTCAATTTTCTCACCATAATGCACATCACGGTAACAGCGACCAAAAACATCATCTAAGCTGTTAGTAAGTGATTGTCAAAATATTTCAGCTCCACACAGCTTTCATCAAAAAAGGCACGCCCAATGAAATCCTGTAATGACGTTTTATTATCGGAGAAAATCGTTCGTGAAATATAATCCGTATTTACTTGATTGTGAATGGGAACTAAAGCAAATATTTTGTACACAAGCTACACTATGGGTCTTTCGAAAAAAAACACGTGTTTGGATCTCAAACATAAACTCGATAAGCTATATTTCGTACGTTAAAGTACATAGTGTCTTATGACCTTATCAGTCAATGCTGAATTGACGTTCAATTTGACAAACGTAATTGAATTCCGGCTCAAGATATCATATGACGATGTTTTTGAAATTTTTCAAAAGTGATATGTGCGTAATTCTCCCGTCGCTTCTCGTAGAAATGACGTTTAATTTAATCATCAAATTGAGAAAAACAAATTCCCTCGAAATTCCCTGTGTACTAAAAATGTACTGTACTTGGGTCACAAATTAAGCGCATGTTTCAAGATACGAGTAAAGTTACCTGTTCGTTACTGTGAATTGAAATGAGATTATAACAAGAGTGTCTGCAATATCAGGTATCTGCTATACTTTTAAACTGCTTTATGCTCTGCTGTTGGGATGTAAGACCTCATATCAAGGCATTTGATCCTGTTTTCAAGATTTTCTAAAACTATTTTGAACAATTTGTTCTCAGTAGAAATGAATCTTATAATTTTTGCAATCATACTGTGCTATGAATTATTTCATAAAGATAGTACTGTATCAAAAATAACTCTGCATATTAGAAAGAATGTGAGAAAGATGAATATACAACAAAGGATGAGGATTAATAAGATTAATATCATAATATATGATTCTTCCAAGATTCAAACCTAGTAAATGTGTATGCATGGCACAAGTACCCCTGTCAGTACACCTGTACCCCAACTGTGCAGAACCCATGGCATCTGAACCCTTTACGGTACATATGCACCAACTCCCAGAACCTAGCTTTCTTTGTTCTCTATGGTCCCTGCATCCGTATGCACAGGTACCTATTCCCTTTCCTGGTTTATCCCCTGATTTTCACCTATATAAACCCGAGATGATTCATCCTCTGAGATCAGGCATTTAGCATCAGGTGCACAGTGAAGTAACTCAATTATACTCTCTTGTATAGAATCCTTGTGTCTTGCTTGTCTCTTGGTTGTAAATACAGTGAGACCCCTTAGCCCTGGGGCGGCAAAGTCGGACTTTTTCCGCAAAATTTGGTGTCAGTAAGAGAAGCTTAAAAAAAATAATAACAGTGCATCCAGGGCAAAGTTGGGAAAAATCCTGGCATATTTTTTAAATACTGCAGAAAAATTTTGCCCAAAAATGAAAAAAGCCATCTCCAAGGCTGAGCTTTTTTTCATCTCATCCCTGGATTAGTTATATTATTTTCAGCTTCTTGGCTTTTTCATTTTGGGCACCAGACGAAGGGGTCCCATTCAGAGGCCACAAAAGATTAGCGGAAAAAGTCCAACTTTGGGAAATCACAACAACACATTTTTGCCAGATAAAGTCTGACTTTGCCCTAGGCCACCTGGCTTGGCTTTCATGACCTTCAAAAAAATTTTAACCTGGGCCCACCCGAGAATATCCGTACTTTGTCCCGCAATGGGAAAGCACCTGTTGCCGTGGAAGGGTTAAATGCAGACCCAATTTGTGCATCAAGAGTGTTCCTAAGTTGAATTGCCCCTAATTTGAGTCTTGTTTCACCATATAGACATACATAATATAATTCTTAATTTGTGTTTTATGGAAGAAATATTCTGCAGAATTCCATGAAAAAATTCTTTGCCACTTGATGAATTTGATTCAGTTGATTTTTTTTCAAGCCAATAAGAACATTTTGAGCATTGAAGAGTATACTGCTTTTCAGTTCATTGAAATGTTGGCATCTGTAAAAATAACATCCAAGTAACAAAGAGCAAAGGAAGTCCCTCCATGCTATAGGTAATTTTTAAAATAGCTGAATGGATGGGAAAGTGATGGGAAAAGTGGGTGCAGGATAAAATCCCATGGGAGAAAAAAATCCCGCGGCCCGAAAATCCTGTGAGGCCAATAATCCTGTAGGCCCAAAAATCTCGCGCGGTCCAAAAATCCCGTAGGTACAAAAATCCTGTATACTACAAAATTGTGATATTATATCTGAGTTTTCCTTCAAACTGCCTGGGAGGAATGCAAACATGGCGGATTATGAAATGTTTAAAGTGCGAGGGGTTTCCTTCCAAATTCAATAGAACCTCAACTTCACTTCCTCACCTTTCTCCTGAAAAAAACCTCAGAAAAATGTAACTTCCATTTGGACCAAGATTTTGTTCCTGCATTTGTTTTGTATATAAACTGTTCACTTTTCCAATTATTTTCAGTTCAACTTTGCCCTCTGCTGTATGAAGTGAAAATCTTGCATCAATTTGCTTGAATTGGAAGGCTTTGCTTGGTTGGAAGGAAAACTCAGAGATAGTATCACAATTCTGTAGTACAGTATACGGGATTTTTGTACCTACGGGATTTTTGGACCCCGCGAGATTTTTGGGCCTACGGGATTATCAGCCTCACGGGATTTTTGTGCCGCGGTATTTTTTCTCCCACGGGATTTCATCATGGAGCGGGGAAAAGTACCAAAGAAATTTTCTGGCGAGGATCTTTGGGTTGGAAATATCTGTTTCTTGCAGTTAAGCCTAATAGAAGTCAATTTTCCTAAAATGTATTGGCAATTTTATCATGCAATTTCCTCATGTTGAGTCAGTGTCTGCATACGTCTGACCTTTTTATGATTTTTTTATTGAAAAATAAATGTCAAGTTCAATTGTTCCCATGCCAAAGTGGCTGCATGTGGATATCTCACTGTATTTTGGTTTACATACAAAGTACTGTACAAAGAAAGGCTATTTTTGTCTTGCAGGGACTTTTCAGAGTGAATTCCTTCTCACATCCACTCCATAAAAAAAGATACGCGAATCTCAAACTTAATCAGATTAAGGATAACAAATTGTCAAATGCTTTTACTTTCCCAAAGCCAAGATATAAAGATAAACTTGATAATTTGTATCTACAAAAGAGATGGAGTGAGAGGAAACTGCATAGGTAATCTTTCTTGTTATCTGTTTTGAATTTATTTATGAAGAAATGAGGTGTAAAAGTTGATCAAAATTCATCGAAAACAGTGTGTGTAAAACGCAAATGACCTTCAAATTCCGAGAAGTTTAGAAAACATCGTTTTTGTTGAAAAACTCTTACAAGCAGGTGAAGTAAGCATAGGTTTCTTGAATCTGTAATAAAAAAGGAGAATAATCTCCTCCACTTTCAAAAATAAAGTTAATAATACATTGTGGACAAATGTCCTCAAAAAATTAATTTAAAGAACCAACTTGGAACAGCCCTTCGACGCACCAATTTTATTTTATGCTTCAGCGTCAATAATTACTGTACTGTCCCTCAATTGTTCCGGATGATGGAAACTTTTGTCACGAAATCGTCCAAACCGTTGAAATTGCGTCGATTGCAGAAAGACCTCAAGGATTTCCAATATTTCGTAACGGGTTGTTTTCAATTGTTCCCCGTTGGGGATGAGGGGGGAAAATATTGCGAAATTCATTCTTATAATATTTTCTCTCGTCAATTCTACGTTTGCAGATTCGTCGAATCGGTCGATCGTCCGAAAATTTAAGAATCGTTGCGAAATGTTTTTCCAGCCTTGCTGATAAGTGATAACTGATCGAGTGAGCTAGACGAGGAAAATTTAACGAAACTATTTCTTTCATTCACTGTTCTTAAAAAATTGATATTTCTGAAGGGTTTTTTGGCACATTATCATGCCAGAAGACGGGAGTATAGGGGCTTTAGATAAAATGGGTGTAAATTAAATTTTCTGAATATTTTAATTTAAATTCGATCTTCCTATTATTTTTGTACATGCATCAATTTTCTGACTTGAAGAATCAACCCCCGTCGAACGGACTTGATTAGTGCGATGGACAAGTATATTAGACGAAAAGTCCTTTATGCGAACTCAAGTATATAAAAAAATTAAAACAATAAATTGTCAACGCTAATTATGACCCACTATAAGTCTGTTTAGCGGATTTTGTCTGTTGGGCGGGAGGGAAAACTGCTGGCAGAGCTGGTCTCTTACGCGAAAATCCCTTAGGCGCGAAGTCTGTTAGGCGGGGGCCACTGCGCAAATTACGGGTGAACTCTCCCTACCACGAAATTTGAGGGACCAGCAACAATTCGTTGTAGAGGACCCCTATTACAACATGGATGAGGGATTTTAAAAAAAATCGTTATGCATAGCAAACCACTTTATACGAAGTATCGTTTTACAGTGTCTACTTGTTTAATAGAATACCGTTTTGAGAAGGTGTCACCACAACGTTGCAAAGACCTTGACGAACGGAAAATATTGTTGACAATAAGTTACAACAGCCCCGAGGTCATTCACACAGACTCCTGTTTTCCCTGCCCCCTGTGTCATTGGGTTTCTCGGGTTTTAATTATTTTTTCCCCATTTTTTTTTATTTGCTTTGCTGGACGAACACTGCTGAGAAAATTTATGCACAGGAATCGTCCAACCGAACGTGATCTTACCGCATGTGACAGTTTCCCTGAGACGGGTTCTCTTTTGCTTCATTTCGGCTTTCAAGGTTCTTCCTGAAGCATCAGGGTAATTACTTTGAACTTCAAAAAATACTGCATATTGTCTGTTTCACACCGGTACTATTCAAATATCTTCCAAATATTTATGAGCATCAGAATTGATTAATCAGGCTCTCACCTCTTGTGTGGCAGAGAAAAGCAAACCGCAATGTTTTGAGCATTTTTTTTTTAGCCTGCAGGTGGAATACAGCACAGTATTTCTACAACAATCTTGTCTAGAACAATTTTCTCTGCATAAGGATTTATTTTTAGGACCATGAGGTTCTTTTCCACCCACCCCCCAGTCCCTCAAATTTCGTGGTAGGGAGAGTTCACCCGTAATTTGCGCAGTGGCCCCCGCCTAACAGACTTCGCGCCTAAGGGATTTTCGCGTAAGAGACCAGCTCTGCCAGCAGTTTTCCCCCCCCCCCCCCCCCATGTTATGTAGTGGTCATCTACAATGAAATTATCTTTAGGGCAATTTATTTTCAGGTACCAGTGAGTTTCATCCTAGAGATTCCATCTATTCCATGAA